TTCAGACAGGAGATGAAATGTGAATTACATATGGGTACTTTCCTTGCTATAAAAATATTATACTCTTTCTAATATTGATAGTTAGAATTATATTTATCGTTTGAGAGAGTTTCAAACTTTGCTAGATTTTGATTGAATGTTTATGTGAGATATTTGGGATTCTGAAAACAGTCATTCATTTAGTTACCGAATGATCGATTACATCAGTCAACTCTAAAAGTGGAAATGAAATGGTCCTAAGTGGCTCGCCCTGCAAAGTTTTGCCTTTTCTTCTCCTATATTTATCCATGAAGAATCACTTCTAACGTTACCTCTGCAGACCAGCGCCTGCACCGGGCCCTAATAGTAGACAGGGGTCTTTGCCATTAGTCAGTCTGTGCCACTCAGCACGAAAGTTACTTGAAGCCATTAGCATTCCCTGCGGATTCTCCTTTCTCAGTGACCACTTTGCTTCTGATTTCACAGTGCCTGAAGCCATCAGCTCTTGAGCTGGTATGTTCTTTGCCTTTATAATCCAAACTTCTGTATCCCTATATCCAGCTCTACCTGCCTTACTCAGGATCATATAAAATATTTTCCTCTTTAAAAAACAAAGTTATTCTATTTTGCTCTGACGTTGCATTTCCCAGCTTACCGATTTGGCCATAAAAATATCTTTTTATAGATTTTCTAGCTTTCCCTTTTTACAGACTTTTTCAATGCTGCCTATCAAATATACTTAAGTCTTAGAATTATAAAATCTAAACTTGGCTAAACTGATATTGCCTTCTCTTACAATCCTAATTTTTTTTCTTTAACTTCCTTTCTTGCAAATCTCTTGGGTTACTCTTTAATTACTAATTACTACCCAGTTCCCCAACTACCATTTATATTAATTTAATAAACACTCCTACAGTGCATACTATGCACTGAGCACTATTTTAAGTACTGTGTTTTTAACACGGTATTGTATTTTAAGCATATATATTATGTGTATAACTCATTTCATCTGTTCTAAAATATCATGCAAAAGTTTTTTTCTCATCATAAAATCAGTTTGCTCATTCCAGAAATATTTGGAAAATATAAAAATATGCAAAGTAAAACACAGAAGTTATCTAGAAGCGAGAAATATGAATACCTTTTTGCTCAATTTTACATAGTTTTGTGAATGTATATGACTATGCTTGGGTTCACTTCGTGTACATATAGCATGTGTGTATATTGAGATGATCAAAATAGTGAAGAATTATATCACATTACTTTGTAATGAATTGTTCCAAGCAGATATTCACTCATTAAAGCCTAACATCAACCCTAAATTTATTTTCCCCATTTCATAAAGAAGGGGCT